TCAATCAATCAGTGAGGTTTTCCCGGTGCATTTTGGCTGCAACTCCCCATTTGCGTTTGGCTGAACGCATCAATTTAAAAATGAATCGCGAATTCTCTTTACTCCTTGCCTGTGGCCAGTTGCAATTGCATTGCGGATCTGGTCAATTGCCCAATGGCCCAAACGGGTTACTTGGGGCATTGGCTGTTTTCTTGTCTTGTTTTTTTTTTTATTATTTTTATTTTTATTTTTTTTTACGAGAGAAAAAGCGTTTTTAAATGGCTTTTGGAGTGCGTGGCGCGGGCTTTTGATGTGCCTCTTCACATGCTGAAAATTCACGGCTCTGGCGGTCTGCGTGGTGATTAATGTTTGGCATAAACGCGAGTGTGAATGCGAATGCGTTTTTAAGAACTTTGACAAGGTCCTGACTTGCCCTGGGCCGCCCATATGTCTGGCAGCGGATCTGGCTCTCGACTCTCGACTCTGAAGTCAACTCATTTGTTTTGGCTACCCTTTTTATTCTCTTTGGTAAGGCAACATTTGGCTGGGCCTCCCATATGGCCTCGTCTGATAAAGTTATTGCCAAAAATTGTGTGTATGCAATTGTCTCTCTCTCTCTCTATCTCTATCTCTCTCTTTCTCTCTCTATCTGTCTCTCTCTCTCTCTCAGTGTTAGTTGTCTTGCTGTCGATGCTTGATTTTCGCTTGTCTCTATATACGCTTTTATATGGCCGGCTTGCCGGCTTTGATCTTGACGTGGCGCGGAGGGGTAATGGGCCTGGCTAAGAAAAATGCAACTTGAGCTCAATTAGTGCTCATCAAAAGCGTGCAGGTAACACCTTCAATGCGTTGCTTTGCACACCCCTTACAGTCTGACATATATATATATAAACATATATATATGTATATATATATATATATATATATATGTGTGTGCGCCTTTAAGCAAGCGAGTCACTTGCTGTTGTTCGGCTGCAATTTGCACAAAGGAACTGTTGTTGTGGACCACCCGTGTGTGAGTGTGTGGCATGCAGCCTCGCGGCAGGAGGAGCATGGCTCGGAGTGAAAGCAAAATTGCTGAATTCTTATAGCTGCTGCTTACAAGAACTGCCACGCAATTTCGTTTTGTTGGTATTTTGCGAATTTTTAATGCCCCAACTAGGCATTCAAATGCTTTATGGCCATACAACACGCTAACTCATATTTTTGTTGCCAATTTTACAACAAGCACATTTTTTTGTTAAGAAAATCACTTTTTTTTTGCTTATTTTCTTCGAGGCGCAACCGTTAATTAGCGAATTTGTTCGAGCGCCAGCTTGTCAACTTGTTGGCTAGCTAAGCTCAAAGCCATTCAGTTTTTTTGTTGTATTTATTTTTTTGCAATTTTGCATGCCATTTCACATAGAAGCAACCTCCCAAACACAGTTCCAGCTGTCTGTAAGAATTTGTGATTTTTTTTACGCGCCTGCAGTCATTTGATTAATTTTATTGAGGCAATCGATTTGCGGTTTTAACTTTGTAATTTTCATAGTAGCCTTAACTTATATATATATACTATTATTTTTTTGTATTTATTGTTTTTTCTCCGGTTTTAATGTCATTAACAAATTTTTGTTGAAACGTTGCGCTGCTATTAATCATTTGAAATGAATTGTTTTTTCACTTTATTGGATTTTCTTTTTGTTTGCTTGATTTATGTTTGAAAACTGTTGTTGATTTTTGCCAGCCACTGTTTTGATTATCCAATGGGTTAATACGCCTTGTGACGCGCTTACCCTTTCCCGCTAAAGCATTTAAAATGAATGAAATTGCATTTTGAAATCTTTACGATTATTATGCGCACTTGATTCTGAAGTGTTTCACTGAATTGTTTATAATTATTCGCAGATATTGCAATTAGTTTTAAGGTTCAATACATATGCCAAATGTTAGTGAAACACGGATATTGCTTTGAGCTTAACTCCATAATTAGTTAAGCTCTGGTTTTCGATCAATTATATAAAATAATACTCTAAAATTGTAACACTCTTATGCACTTAGTATCGTTGTAGTCAATCTCTGCACTCGCTAACTGCTTATTAGTTGATTTTATTCAAGCTACAAACAATTTCCATAATAATTAATTATACAGTCCGAACATATATCATTATCAGATGTTGAAAGACCAACGGCTCTGAGCAAATATTGTAACTGGGAATTAAAAATCAAATTGCCACTAATATGTCTGATATATATCTGGCTAATGTCCATGTACATATTGGCTGCATGTTCTATGAGCATAACATCGGCATGGGCGTGCCACTTGTGGGCGTTCGATAATCATGGCACGCCATTTTGGATGTCACGTTGCCCAGACAGATGTTGGAATATATATATATATATACAGTTGCATCTATCCTTTGTTTCCTACACAGGAAAGCAATTTCGCCATCAACTCATCCAACTGTCGATTTATTATGACTATGGATAGATGTATAGATGGATGGGTGCATTGATGGTATGCCAGGCAGTTGATGACGTGACTGAAAATTGCATTCTAACAATGTTGGTTAAAATCTAGTTTACATGGTAGTTAGCAGCTGGCGAAGCAGCTCGACACATTTTCTGCTCATGACTTTGTAATTATACAAATTACAATATATTCGATGATTTTTGGCACCCTCTTGACTCAACATTAAGTATACGTCTAGTTGAACTAATTTGTTTCGACTTCGCCCGCGTGTTGTGTAAAATGTTTACACTGCTATCTGTCAAATCAACTGTCAACTCAAAGTGCCATCATAAGATCTTTTTGTTGTTAGTCTTCTTGTTGTTGTTGTTGTTGTTGCTGGTTTGGTTGTTGTGCGTTTTGTGGTTCATGCTTGGCTGGTTTGAGTCTTTGGCTGCCATTGCGGCAGTCTTTTGTCAAGTGGGAAAAGTTTTTCAGTAATTAAATTGCAATTAAGGCTGCATCCGTTTCTGTTCCCCCTCCCTCTCTCTCTCTCTCTCTCTCTCTCTCTCGCCAGCACGATCTATCTCTCTCACTCAGTTGTTGCCTCTTTGTGCGTCTGTGCGTTCAATAACTTAACTGTCTGTGCCAATTGTCTTGGCGTTTTATGAACAGCAGCTGCAGAAGCAGCCCGTGCCACCAGACCTCCACCAAATACCCCCTGCCTTTCAGCCATTATTAAGCATTATTCTTTTTTTCGTTGATAATGTTGTGCTTATAATTGACGAGCCCTAACGACAATTTCATTCTACGAAATCGCAACAGCTTTTCAGCCATTTCCACGTTTTCCACTTCCATTTCCATTTCCATTGTAATTATCTGGATATGTGTCGCTGTGCCCGCAATGAGGGTTATTAAGAACTTAAAGTACTCCACCTAATTACTGCCAACTGCTCTCAGCCGGAAGTGAGCAAGAATCATTGTCTGCTCTCTGTCTATCTCTCTCTCTCTCTCTCGCGCGCTCGGCTCAACTGGCGGCGATCTGCGCTTTTGATCAACATCTTATTAACAAAGATTGTTGCAAAGTGCAACAGAGAAATTGCAAAAACCGGATGACTGCATGGTGGCAGCCTTGGGAAAACAATTTTGTGAAACGTGGCGCTAAAATATCAGATTTGCTGACGCAGGGCCCAAAACTATTGGACTGCAATGCATACACTAAAAAAAAGCCACAAGATTAAATGAAAAATAAGAAATTCCTTAAAACTGTTCTTGGAACTAGTTAAAGCGATTTTTAAAACATCTCAAAAATAAGCGATTTTTAAAACATCTCAAAAATAAGAAATAAAGTAAAAATTAAATATAAATTATATCAGAGATTGAAAAAAATTGCATGTAAATAAAACTGCTTTTGGGACTAGTTAAAATAGATTGTTGAACCTTTTCAAATATCTCAAAAAGAAAAACAACAAAATGAATAAACTATACTATGAAAAATACACAATATATACAAATACAAAATATAAAATATATATAGAGAAACAGTTTAAGATTTGTTGTTGAAACATCTTTAGATATTTCCTTCGTCAAAATATTCGCTTAAATTTTAAGATCTACAAAAAACTCGCCAATTACAACAGAATTATGACAATATTATTTACTTTCAACTGCGACTAACTTAAATATTTTGAAAATTGACACTTTTTGCAAAATAATTAGTGTATTTGTCGACTTTCACCAAATAGTAACTTGATGAGAGAAAACCCAATTTTGGGGTTTCCCCGAATTAAAAACAAAAACCGTCAATAGTACTTTAATTTGCCTGAGTGTACAGGTATAATAAACATAATCGTAAACAGCATTGTAAGCGTCAGCATCATAATCATAATCAGATTGGTGGCCAGCAGTCAATGCCAGTAGCCGCCGCATAAGTAACTGATTAGATGGGCATCCAGTTGCCAGTTGCCAGTTGCCAGTTGGAGGATGCCACGAATTGTGGCTGTACGTGCGGCGCGTAAATTCAATTTCAGTAGCCGCGATTTATATATTCTTTTTTTTTTGTTGTTGCTTTTTTTCTTTATGGAACTCGCAACAATTGAGTCAGCGACGAGAGCTGATGGACTGGTCTGGGGTACAGGTCGCTGGGGTAGGTTGCGGGGGGTTTGCATGGAGCTTAACGAGAAATCAACGCCGCTAAGCAAATTATGCCGAACGATACGCATGCGCCAGATCAGCGTTGATCAGCGTTGATCAGAGATTGAGAAAGGCAACAACAGCAGCAACAACAACAACAACGATGGAGGCAATCAAAGAGGAGACCAAGAAACCGTGTCTGGTAATGGCTAAAATTGATTTAGCCACCTCGAGGCTGCCTGACCTTACTACTGTTTTTACGCTTTAAGCAGAATCTCATCAAGACGTAATGACAACAATTGATCAATCGCTCCAGTCGAGCCAAGTTAATGATGTTGCTGCCTCTGCTGTTGCTGCTGCTGCTGCTGCTGTTGATGTTGACCAACATCAAATCAGTTTAGATTTAAATCTAATTTATTTGCGGTTGCCTACTCGTCTTACTCTTCTATGCCACACTCACCCTGCTCCTCATCAAAGTTTTTGGTGGATAGCTGGAACAGTGCATCGAGTGGTGTATCTCCGCCCGCGGTTGCTGCTCCCACTGCTGCCACGCCTGCTTTCTGGCTGGGATCACTTGAGGCTGCTGGTTTGTTTGTTTTATTGGCTTCATCGAGGGGGCAGCAATCGGTGCTGCCATTGCTGCTGCTCGAGCGCTGTGAACGCTCCGAGCTGCCATCCTCGGAGGGTATCGGTATTCGGGCGGGATCCATGCTCATCTGGCGCAACAGCTGCGCCTGAAAGTGCTCCTGCAGCTGCCTCTGATAGTCCCATGCCAAGCGCTGCTCATAGCTATGGAGCAGGCCGGGCGGCAAAAACGGATGTAATCCGGCATGCAGCAAGGGCGCCGCCTGCGAGACTGTTATGGGCACCTGTAGACGCTCCTGCAGCAGCACAGATGGAGCTGAAGCTGCGGCTGCAACTGGAGCTGGAGTTGGACCTTCAGTTGGAGCTTCAGCTGGTGTCGCCGCCGTCTTCCGATCATCGCCACAGCCCAAAATGTCGGCTATGGAAAAGCTTTTGATGCGTTCACCTGCCCCAAATTGGCTGCATTTGCGAACACTTTGAATTGTCGCCGGACTGCGAAGCATTCGCAAGCGTTTTATGTTGAGCGGCCTCATCGTCGGCGGCGGTGGACTCGGCGAGCCCACAGAGATCTCGGATACGGCCGGACTGCTGCAACTGCGCGTTGCAATCATTTCTACGGGACTTGGCGTGCGTTGCGGCATTGTCTAAAATTCAGCGTTTAATTTCACATCAACTAATGCTGGGCGCACATTTTTTCACATTCGAAAACGCGTCGGCAAAAACGCGAACGGCGAACAAACGAACAACGTGCAACGTTCAACATTCAACATTCAACACAACGTGAACTCGACCACTTTTGGGCTCTCCTCGTAAAAATGGCTTTGTATGCTTGCGCGCTCTCTCTCCCTCTCTCTCTCTCTCTCTCTCTCACTCTCTCTCTCTCTCTCGCTCTCTCTCTCTTTCGCTCTTTTGTCTCTCTGTCTGTCTGTCTCTCTCGCTTGGCGCTCAGTTTGGTGTCTGACTGCCTGCGACCGGTTTGGAGCGTCAAACGTGTTTGATGACGTCACAGCTGCAGCTGCGCAGTCCGCCTTCTAATTGGAAATATTGCTGCCAAGCAGAGGCGTGCTCTGCGTGTGTGTATGTGTGCGTGCTGCAACCAATCAGCGCACAGCTCTCACTCACTTACTCACTCACTCGCTCACTCATCAGTCCAAACGGGGGGCGCTGTCAACGTCTGCGAACGTCATCAATTTTTTTTACAATTTGACATGCGCCTGCTCAGCTCAGCGAGGCTTTCTTGCGCTCACTCGCTCGCACGCTCTCTCTGTCATGCCTTCTCATTCGCCTTCTTTCCACGCGGCTGACTGTGTTAATTATCGTAATTGCTGCTGCTGCTGCTGTCCTCTTTTCTCTCTCGCGCACACACAGACACACACAGAGACACACACATGCTCACACTTCATCTTCCTCTTCTTTTACGACTACTCCTGTGGCAGCTGCTCGTCGGCGCACTCAATTGTCATCAATAATGATGTCTAGTTTTCGAGTCTCTTCTTGTACCGTTTTTTTTGGTTGTTGTTACTTTTTCGTTCCCCATTTGCTCCGTTCGCCGTTCGCTGTTCGCCGTTTTGCCTTTTCGGCTTTGTGAGCGCCTATTTTCGCCGCTGATGTATTCGCTGACTGCGGCAATTTAGCAAAAGAAAAAAACTCTTTAAAATCAGCTTTGGGAAGGTGTCGCCGTCGTTGTCATTGCCCCATTCTCATTCTTATAAACAAGTACACACACACACACGCACACATACATACATGCATATATACATTTATATATATATATACATATTGCTTGTTTATATGTGTGTGTGTGTGTTTTGTTTGTTGGCACACATCCGTTTGTCTTGTCGTTTTGTTTTTTTGTTTTGTCTTTTTTTGCCAGCTGTCTTTGCCATTGCCTTTGGCTTTGCCTCTGTCTCATTGCCATGCTTGTTGTCCCTTTCGCCCCTTTCCCATCTGCATTGCATTGCATTTAAATTGATTGCAGTAAATCACATTTGCCTTTTGCTCCGTTTGCAGTGTTACGTATACGACATGTGCTACATGTGTATTAGTGCTTCCATATCTGTCTGTGTGTATGTTTGTTTGTGTGTCTTATTCAATTTTTGCTTCGTTGTTTGTCCTGGTTTTTTGCCGACATATCTCTTGCATGCAAATGTCTATTTAACTGCAATACCCCCTACTCCCCACGCCACAGTGGATTTCAGCTAAGTGAAATGATGCAACTGTTGAACCGGAATCGATAATACATTCTCAGTACTCTTCCAAAAAATGTATTGTTAGCTATGCCACACAGAATATGGCAGGATCACAAGTGATAGAAATAAACATGAAAGAAAGTTGATGATTTTATATAGAAGCAAAAATTCAATCATTAACTCCGTGTTTTTTTTTTTATTATAAAAAGTAAGGAACAACCATCTTGAAATTAGTGATAATATTTCAATTGAGTGAAATATCTGGGAAAATGTTTTGGTGGAGGGGGGTTTTAACAAGTCAAATTCTTTAATGTAAGAAATTATATATTTAAGATTATTTTTATTATATTCTTTTTTGTTAGTTTGAATATTATTATTAGTTATTTAATTATTATTATTACTTCAATTTTGTATTATAACTATAAATTCAGTATATATTATTTCTAGGTATTATTTAAATTATGGCTAGAATTTGTTTAAAGTATACTTCAATGTGTAATGTAAAATATATTTGTTGATATATTATTTAAGGACAATACTGACCGGGTTAAAGGGTATATAGGTTGCGACACTTTCACATTTGGGCTTTCGCTTTTGTTGTTATCTTTCAATGCCGTTACCTGGCATTTGCCGTTAGTTTCTTTCGTCTCATTTCATTTCGATTCGTACTGTTTTTATTTCGCTTACGTGTGGCTTGATTAATGCCTGCACTTGACTGACTTAAATGCAGTTGTTTCTGTCTTTGTTTGTTGTTTTTGTCTTGGTTTTTTTTTTTCTTTTTCTTTTTTTTTTGGTTCAATTTAGGATAGTTGGCGCATAGCAACGCTTCCGTATGTATGTAAGCAAATACATCAGCTGTTGTGTGTCTCTCTGTGAGCATATTCAAAATCAATTACAAACTGCCACTTAATTGGGCGCCTCAATAGACGCGACACGCCCTGTCAATCACAATTAGCATGCGCCCCTAGCAAAACCAAAATCAAAAGCAAAAGTAACTCAACTCGACTCAGTCGAAAAGGCACTCGACTCTGGGCCAATTCGACGCGCCTCTAATTCTGCAAATTCATAAGCCAAATGCAACATATCGGTATCCTTTTCATTAGTCAGCACAAGATGGCCGCCGCCGCCGCCGTTGTTGTTGCTGTTGTGTTCATTAAAACCTCATAAATAGCTAAAGTGTTTATTGTCACACAGACAGACAGAGAGAGAGAGACAGACACACAGATATGTATTATTTATACAGCTGGCAAGCCCAAATCCCCAGGGCAGCAACTCCTGAGAGGGCCTCTTCATACGAGTATTTGTATACAATGTCATCGGCTTTTGGTAGTTGTCGGTTATGGTTATGGCTATGGTTTTCTATACGGCTAGGGGTAGGGGCATCATAGGGAGGAAGTTGCAGCAGCAGCAGCAGCCACGAGTATCACTTGGTAATAAAGTCATTGCCATTGTCGTTGTTGTCAAATTTGTCACGCCCCTTTCGGCGAGCTGGGCTGCCGGCAATGCATTAATGTCGCCTTTTGTTTAGTCTCGACTCTGCACTGAGCGAAAAGGGCACTTTTAAACACATGGACAACCGGAAGAGAAATCGTCCAATTTGCTATCGAACGTTCTAAAATAATGAAATCATTTTTGATTGCCAAAATGACACCATTTTTTTATTACAAAAATCTCTAACTCAAAATGACTTAAAACAAATCTAAAATATATATTTTGATCTGTATAAAACGATATTGTTTCAAATTTAAGAACCTCGATTATGGAGATAAAAAATGCCCTAATTTTCTCTAAGTGTGCGTCTGTTGATGAAGTTGTGCCATGTAGTTGTCAACATCAACAACAAAGCGTTGCAGTCCCCGAAATTCATGCCAATTAAGAACCGCTTGCAGCTCGATCCTGCCACAAACTGTGCTCAGAAGACTGTGACGAATGCGCTTATGATGACGATCGGCCCATAGAGTTGCAGTTGAATCTCAGCTTTTGTCCACACCTGCAGCTGTCTACATTTTTTTCTTGGTCGGCCAAACAATTATGCAGATCTCGACCACAAGCAGCCCAAAGCACTTTGTGTCAGGCAATCAGATATATATATATATATATATATATATATATAGTAATTATTGCAGAATCGTGCAATCAAATTGAGTCTCTAAGTGGAGCAGCAGCAGAAGAAAGCCGCAAGAATCAAACTAAAGTGACAACAACAAAGTTGTTGCCACTTGAGTGCAGTTGCTGCCGTTTACCACACTCAAATTATTGTTATGAAGAGCGCAACATTTAGGCAGAAAATGCAGGACAGAGGACAGGGGACAGTCTGGTCAATGGCAATTTGTGTGTCATTGTGATAAATCAAAACATTATCAATAATAAAATCGGTAGCTGTTTGCCCTTTGGGTGCATTTAAAGTGAATTCTTTTCGGCTCTTTCTTGTGGTCAGCAGCAAAGAAACGTAAACTGAAAACTGAACACTACAAAAGACCGAAACCCAAGAAAAAACCTAAGAAATACATTTCTGAGTGCTCGTCTTTAATTTGTATGCAAATTGATGTTTGAAGTTGAATTTCTGATGAAGCTTAATGTCATGTGTGTGTTTGGATCGGTGCAGAGATCGGGGTAAGTGGGGGGAGGGGGGACCCCTTACTTAAGTGACAGACATTAACACTTTTGTAGTTGGAGCTGTGAAACTTTTGATTTTCACTATTTCTGTGTGGGTCTCTCTCTCAGTCTTCTTATCGATGATATAGCGGTATGGCGTCAACGTCAATTCATTGGCATCAAATGAATTAAGTGGCCATAACGACTTTTGGAATGTGATTCACGCGCCTGCGGTGTATATATATATAAAATAAATACATATATATAAAATAATATATATATATATATACCTGTATACATAAAGTTGGGCGCTTAGGGGCGCACAACGTGTGTGTTCTGCACGAGAAGAAATTAATTGGCTGGTAGCTGGTAGCTTGAAGCTGGAAGCTGGTTGATGGGTCTCGATATGGATTTTTGATTTTGATTCGGCGGCTTTTGTGTGTGATCTTCAAAGTTGGCCTATAGCTTGAATCAGCTTTATCAGTTTTAAATGGAGCAGTGCATCTTGAAGATAACAGCAGCTGCTGCTGCTGCTGCATGGAAGCTGCATTTGACTTGGGTTGATTGCAGTTTAATCTTTCGAGAGATACACAAATATTGTGATTTATACCCCTGCCAACACAATAGGGCAAATATATTCGTTAATAATGGTATTTGAATGAATTTGCTTATCTCTGGTTTATTTGCTCTCTCATTCTGTATCAGCTTCCCTCTTTCTTATTAACATTTGGCTTTCCTTATTAATAAGCCACTTACTCATAGCAATTAACTAGAAGTATATATCCATTTTAAGTAAATAAAAGCCATAATAATAATCATACAAAATATTCGAGAAAGCTGACATAAGTATTAATCTGGAAATATTGTTTTAAGAAATTTGAAAATATATTTTTGCCTACTTCAGATCAAGTTTTCTTATTTGATTTGAAATTTCCAACGTTTGAATATCCTTTAATCTACAAATCTC